CGTCCTCTACTATAGTTTATCTAGATGATACTTTGGGTGAGGCGATCCATCGTTGTCGTTGACTACCGCAAAAGGACTTGCTTTCTACAACAAATTACAGCCAAATTCAGGTTAGATCATGCTCAAACAATAATATTGAATTGTTACAGTCCAGCATCAGCTAGGTCTCACAAAATGATTCAGATTGATCATGATTATCTTATTTTTTACCTACCTGAAGCGAAATAATACACTCAAATAATGAAGCTTCAGATTTGGCTCCATGCTCCAGTAATATACCTCATTCAGACATACATAAAGCAATTTGTTATGTGTGTCACATAATTACACTTCACAACTTATGGCCATGAATTGTTGGCCCTTTCCTGTATGATCTGATATGTTTTAATGTATGATCTGATATGTTTTAAAGCATAATACACAAATTATTTCGTTATCAATTATTTGACTGCTACACCGCTTAGGTAATGACAAGCAAGATTGTCGTTTAGATTTGGCCTTGTTTCATTCCTTTGCGTGTGATTTGTACATCCTACTATAGTTTTTTCAAGATAGTAATTTGGGTGAACTGATCCATCATCGTCATTGACTAATGACTAACACAGAAGGACGTGCCAGCTCCAGCTAGGTCTCACAAAGTGATTTAAGTTGACCATGACGATCTTATTTTTATAAACCTACCTGGAGCGAAATGGTATGCTCAAATAATGAAGCTTCACATTTTGATCTGTGCTCCGGTAGTATACCTCATTCAGACATAGAACAAGAATTTTGTTATGTGTATCATGCCTGCCATTTTTCACTTTCAAGACTCTAATCTTATTAACTAGGAAAAGATAATGCATGTACTTCAATTGAACCTTTTAAAGTCTTGGTTCTGGCTCTTGGCATGTCCAATCATTTTTATATGTACAATAATGTTTGCCAGAGGTGTTTGGAGTTAATTAGGAAACAGATAAATTTGCTCGGTTACTAAGTATCAATATGCAATTTTTAACAATAGGACCCAAAGCTTCACATTTATTTTTCTGGTCAGCGTGCTTTGATTTCATAAGCTTTGTAGAGTGACACTAATGAATTAGGACTGAAATAACCATTTCTATGCTAGGTTTCCTATGCTAGCAGATTTTGGTTCGGTAGCTACCGATAACAACTACAAGTGTACCGATGCGTTTTGAATGGTTACATATAGTGTTAAGCTGTGATCTCCTTAAAAAGGCATCGTTTTAGTATGAACTAACCTTCAACAACGGCTCGAGAGGTGGCCTAAAGATGCCTAAAGTTCATGCATCAGGTGGTTTCTGTTTAGTCGAGTATACTTTTAGGCGTCAAATCTCTCAGCTTATATGATCGAGTTAAATAGGTATTAGGCCTTTGCCATTAGAATGTGAAGGCCACCTATCACTCACATTCCCTATGATGATGTATAGTTACATGTGTTTGTTTTTATTAGAAAAAAACAGGTTCTATTCCCCTACGTGTTTAAAGAAAGGCTATGACAAATGGGAACTTGACAATTTTTATACTGATACAGACCTGCTACTATATCTTCAGAGGTTTCTTTCAGTGCTCTGGATTCTATAGAACGAGTTCCCATTCATACAGCTAGCCACCTCAATTTACATCTTACAATGTCTATCATCTCTGCTTTCATAAATGTTGGGGCCAAACCTCAATCTGAGAAATTGTCGACGTCTAACTTTTTGACTGGATTTAAATTCAATTACTATGGTCTAGGTGCTGCAATTTCTTTTCATTGGTTTCAGACTTATCTACATAGCCCATTTCAGAAATCCACTAGTGATATACAGCGACAGTTGAACAGTTGGAGAAAGAGTATCTGATCTAACGGATCTCGTTTCTGGTTCACATATAATTTGATTGGCAGTTTATTTGTAAGGTATGGCTGCCTGCTTCTTCATATCTATTTCATGATGACTTTCGTATATTCAAGTCTGATTGAATAAATTGGCTTGGCTGCATGTGTCCTCCTGAACACAACCTGTTATTACACACTGAACAAAACCTGCATAAACTGGCACAATCTCTCTTGCTCCCTCATTTTTACTTCTTAGATATTCAGTTATGAATGGCCACAGCACAGTGAGTGAAAAAAGGCACTACTATTAATTGTGCTGCATGTAGTGACTTGCTTTGCTTAATTTTGCACGCCATTTTTTTTTACCAAAATGCGTTGCTGTTTATCAATTATTTAAGAAAGCACCAAGAAATACCTTAGTTTGTAGGAAATTGTCCCCTTTATCCGCTATAGCTGCTCAATGACTAGATGTTAAGTGTACAACACTTTATCTTGCCTTCTATTATTTACATCTAGCACTTCTATTTTGCTTCCAAGCCAAATTCTTTTTCTTTTTTTTTGCCACACAATACCCTTCTTCTATGGATGAATGCTTCCCGTTTATTTTAACACCCAGAGGCCTATCCATGGCCTATGTCCACTGCATTTGCTACATTTGGTTGACTTAGAACAATTTATGTATCCTCTGCTCATAATACAACTGTTTGATTGTGGTTCCTGCAGGTTGATACATATGGTTCCAATTCTAGCTACGCCAAAACCATGCCGTCTGCCGCTACTACTGCCAACCTATTTGGCTTACATATCCGATCGTATCTATTTCTACATGTTTTCCTACGCTCAATTCCATGGAGTGTCTCAGTTTACACGGGCCTCCATGTTCCATTCCAACATTTGCCTTTTTAGTTTTCGCAAGATGACTCAACATTGGCGCGCGACTTTACATACCTAACTTCTGAGTCTTGTGTGTTTAGTGCTAAAGACAATTGTGTAATCCCTATGTACATTGCAACCTGTAGTGAACTTCTGAGTCTTGTGTGTTTAGTACTAAACAGAACTGTGTAATATTCAATATATGATCCACCATGCTATTTATGTGAACCTTCCTTGTATAATGCTCTGATGCCCTACCATGCTGGTTATAGGCATGCCTTTCGGTAATCTATATAAATAGACCAAACCACATTATCCCGCTGCTTCATGGCACATTCTGCACCCACACTTATCCCCGAGCGCGTGCATCACATTCTGCACCCACACTTATCCCGGGCGCGCGCCCTGACACTAGTTGTTTACATTTCAGGCAAAACTGCCTAAGGCGTGAGCTCTCCTTCGCGCGCCCCTAACGTCTGATTTTGGACTCCTGGGACTGTGATATATCTATTTGGAGCTGCTGTTGCCTAGGAATCTTAATTAAAGCAAACGGTCCCTACTATAGTACTATGTGACACAACTAGCCAGAACCATGTATGTGTACCATGTCTCGGTATGTGGCAAACTGGCAATGCAAAAAAATCACAAATCTATAAAAGCCTATAAATTTGAGGGGGTCACGTCGCGGTTACTGTTCATCCGACGAACAGTAACGGATCACGATGAACAGTATCCGACGCGCTAAGGAACAGTACCAACCTTTTTCCGCATTTTTTTTTGCGTTCCATTTTTTCCCTTTCCTCTCCTTCCCACGCGAATCGTGGGGGCGCACGCTAGTAAAAGACTATAAGTTTGAGGCAGGTCACGTCGAATTACTGGTCATCCGGCGCGCTTTACAGACTCAGGTCATTGTAGACGAACATTACCCGAGCCGATAAGGATCAGTACTACTTTTTTTTTCTTTCTCCTCACCATTTTTTCCCCTTTCCTCTCCTTCCCACGCGAAGCGTGGGGGCGCACGCTAGTGTTATATATATATATATATATATATAACGTCGTAGAAAATAGATTGGTAGGTTATTGTGAGATTACAAAGTTTTGGCTTTCCAGATTTTTTATCTGCTGGTTTGTATTAGTGTGGTCGATGGACTTTCAACTGAATTTCAGGGCGATTTCCTTCGTTCAACATCACATATACTTTCACTCAACATTTCCATGTAAAGCAAACGCAATAGGAATAGGAGTGCAAAGCACCAATAATCATTCATGAGTTCCTCGAAAGTAGCTCGTTCTCGAGAGCAGATATACTTTTCATATTGCAAAGCTCACCAAAGTTTCATTGCCACTAGTAGCTTTTCATGCTGGCTGCTGGATGCTACACGTATACTCGAGTACATAATTATGCATCATGGGATTTGTTGGCGCCCGCCATTGTTCTTACATATTATAATCGCGCTTATAGCCTTTCGAAGCTAAGTTTCATTGCAGTAATTGGATGGGAGTAAATAAAGTTAACACGTGACTTTTACTTAATTTTCAACCTTTTTTTGGCATTAGCGCAAATATCATGCTATAAACTATCTTTGCATATCTATAATTACATAAACAAAGAGAAATACTAAATTATACTTTGTTGTTTTAGAGCAATCTAACACTCGATTTTTTCTGCCCAATCCCTCCGACGTTGGTAAGATCAAGGTGTGAGGTTAGGGGGGCTTAGTCGTGTTTGTCGGGTTGGGTTTAGAGGGATCACCGTACCGAGAAGGCCACCTACCCCGTGCTGGTGGTAGGCATGGGGGTCAAAGGTGAGGCAGGTGGTGCCGCCAACCGGGAGGAGGAGGATGGCTGAGGTGTCACCATGATAATCCAGTAGAGCCGATTGACGTGGGAGCGGTCATAGGCAGCGGTGCCAAGGAGGCGGGGCGGCAAGGGCGAGGGGTACGATAGGGGTTCGGCGGGTGAGGATTGAGGAAAGAAGGGAAATAAGATAAGGTAAAGTGGGATTTGATCTAAGTCCTTCATTTCGGATCTAAGGGTTGAAAATTCAAGCGATAATTTCGGTTTGATCATTCAGTTGTTCCATAGACAGCAAAATACCATACTATACATACTATAGCATCTTTGTACATAACAAGTTTGGTCACTTTTGTCATTGATTTACAATTACATAAACCCTTGGGCAAAAAATAATTACTGAGTACTGCAAAACTATTCCTTCTCAATTCTCATCCAAACAAAAAGAATCAGTGATTCCTCAAAAAAAAAAAAAAGATTAGCAGGGGAAAAACGAAACGACGGTATCATCCCTTCACTTGTTGCGGTTCCTCACGATGGACCCCTCCATAACCACCTTCCTCTTCGCCGTCGCCTCTTCCTCGGCCTCGCTTGCCGACGCGGCGTCGCACTCCAGCGAGTCGACGGCGCCCCTCTTCTCCTTACGCGTCGTCCTCGCGGGCCACCGCCCCGGGAAGAGGTAGAGCGCCGTGGACGTGAGCAGCGTGGCCCCGACCCGGCCGCAGAACACCACCATAAGGAGGCACAGCACCACGGCCGCCGCGCCCGCCGCCGGGGACGACGACGCGGGCCTCTTATTGTTACTCGCCTGCCGCTTGACTGGCGGCGGATAAAGCACCCCGAGACCGACGGCGACGACGAGGCGGTGGAGGAGCGAGACGACGCCGATGTGTCCGAGTCCAGCGACGACGCGGAGCTCAGCAGCGCCGAGGACGCCACCGACGACGCCCTGGACGCGCCGTAGACGACGTCGTCGTCTGCGTCCATCCCCCGCTTCTTTGGCTGGTCCAGCGGTGGCGCCGCCGACGGTTTCTTCTCGTTGCCGCCCTTGTAACCGGACAAGAACGACTTGCCCCGGAACGACAGGCTCCGGCGGCCACGACGCTGGCCCTGCAGGTGTCTGGCCGCCGCCACCTCGGCCGCTTCGTCGTCGACCACGGCCGCCGCCGCCGCCGCCGCACCGCCGAAGCACATGAAGAGCTTCATGGCGCGCTCACGGGAGAGGAGACGAATGGATCGGAAGGTCTCGATCGGTCGGCGTGGTGGAGTAACTCACTGCAGGGGTTTCCGATCCGACCGTGGGTGGATGTCTGGATGATATGGATCGACGGATGTATAGCAGGATCGATCGCGGTCGCGGCGTGTCGAGACTCGAGACACTCGAGCGTCCGCCCGGCCGTGTGTCTGCTTCAGATCGGAGCGAAAGCGGCGCGCCGCTGGATATATAGGCGCGCGTCAGCGCGTGTTTTGGTGTGGTCGTGTGGACACTGTTTTTGTGTTTGATGCGGGAATAGGAATGGAAAGCCGAGAGGGGCCACACGGTACTGACTGACTTTGACTCAGGTCTTGTACACAATCACAGAATAGCTGCTGATCTCGATTTCTCGAAGAGTTATTTTCGTCAAATATTTTCTAATATAATTGTTATAAAAATGTATTCAAATATTAATCTAATGATACTTAATATGTACCATTAATACTGTAATTTATATATATTTATTCGATTTTAAAATGTCTAACTCTTCGAAAAGCGATATGTACAGTTATTTGGGAAGGGGAGTATTTGCCAACTGCTCTAATGATGCACTGTCAAATGATAAACCATCTGAAAAACTTTTCTTTTGCATCGGAGGGAGTAGAAGTACAATGGACGGTTTATTAGTATGGTTTCATCCGGTTCTTTGCCACAGTAGTGTACGAAGGGGAAAAAAACTGGCGCTAACAGCTCATAGTTCATTCTAAGAATAAGAAGATAAAACATCTCTTTCCTACATTATGGCTACAATATAATGCACAAATAAATCAGAGTAGAAGACTGGAAGGCACCAAAGCTGTACCGAACGTGTGTCATGTGAGTGAGAGCCTGCAGCAGTTTGTAGAGGAACTGACGTAATCGAAGTCTATATGAGCTACCCCGGCCCTGTGTCCAAAAAAGAATTTATTAAATTTAACTAAACTTATAAAATAATAATAAATTATATTTACACCTACAGACAAGGTTACTATATAAAAATATATTTCATAATTAGTACTCTAATAGTACTTATTCGGTTTTTACCAATGCTTATATAGATTTGATTTGATTAAAATTAAAGTCGTCGTTTGACTCCTTGAACGAGAATTATACGACGGAAAGCAATAAAACTAACCCGGCCGGCGGGCAAACTGCACGTCCCACACGGCCACACCTGGTATCGCAGTCTCACTCTCCCATGATGATCGCTTCGCTTTGTTAGCTACTCGGTTTCGTTTAGCTCGCGAGTCGCGACTTAGGTCTTGTCAGTATCACCAATATCACGTGGTCGAACGAATCCACTGGGTCTGGGGACAGTGGCAGGCTCACTCTCAGCAGTCAACACCCTAAAAATAATTCAAAAGCAGCATAAAGCATCTATAATCCAAGGTCATGTTCGCTTTGCTGAAAAGTCATGTCTGAAAGCATTGTTCGTTGATTTATTACGAGAGAAAAACACTATTTATTCACTAAAATAGTACGGTTCATAAGACACAGCGAATAGGGCCCAAGCTTTTCAGACTTCGTTTACTTGTTCAATTCTATAAAGCAACAGCTGCCGCGCAACGTATTCGGCAGCACCGCGGTAATAACAATATATAAATGCATCTTTTCTTTTAGAAAATGTTGAGGTGAAGATTATGCATGCGGTAAAATTGTATATACAGTACCTCAAGATTCTGGAAGGGAACCGAACGCGCGGTCGTGTAGCAGTTTCGTGTTCCTCAAGATTTGGGAAGGGAAAACTGGGTTGCGACTCCACTACTAGTCTACTATTCTGAAGAACATATAAATAGTACTTGTCTCTAGTCCGTGTGTTCACTTGTCTCATGAGCCATATTATTCCAGCGAACAAATAATGTTTTTCTCTTATAACAAATCAACGAACAGTACTTTCAGTCGTGGTTTTTTTTTAAAAAAAACAGGGCTAAGATTCCGACGCCTTTGAAATCTCTACGTAATTAACACTCGCTTTGCATGTAGAAAGGCGGCGTGAACCAGTTTGGATAGGCCCAGGACTAAAAAAAAACAGGGCTAAGATTCCGACGTGAAGACTTTGAAATCTTCAAAATAATACGTAATTAACACTCGCTTAAAGTTTGTTGGATGTACCCGCAACCCTATTTAATAAGGCGGCTAATTAATCACTCCTTGGCGCTCAATTCCAACATTTAAATGTATTATCATAATTTGGTTAATTTATAGTAAAGTCACTTTTGTTTGGATTTTATAGACGTAGGACTACCATGTATGATCCTGGTCCGCCACTGGCGCTCAATCATTAGCTAGTCACGGACGTGCACCATGCATGCGGCCGCTTTTACTACCTGCAGGTTAGGTTAATTAGCTAGCTAGGAAAACGATCGATCGATCGAGCAACGACGACACAAGGCAAGGCAAGGATCACCCGATGAGTAGTATTGACGCTCGTGTGAATTGAAGTCTCGTCCGTGTGTTTTTCTATTTCTAAGCCACGCTTAGCGTGTCGTGCGTGATGCACTCACGAGCTAACCACATAATAACAATAATAACAACCATAGTTTCTTTTATTTCAATAGAGTTTTAGGACCGGCCAAACCCTAGTCTTTCGATTGGACAAAAGAGCAGTCATAAAGTTCTTTTCTTTAATTTCCTTCTTTTGCATTGTCCCCGGCTGCTGCTAGTCGTCCTATAATAAACTTTGGGATCTGGCTGATACAACACTCGGGTGTTTTACCGGCTCCGAGCACTCGATTTTTTTCTTCACACTTTTTTCCTCCTCCTGACACCCGCCCACCGGGGCCGCGGCGCGGTAGGGTCTCGTCAGAGCTTCGCGGCCGTGGAGCTCCGACGAGACCGTATCATGCCCGCAACGACCTCCATCTTCCCTCTCCCCCTCCCGCCGCCGTCATGGTCATGGGCACCCCTGCGCCCGACTTAGTCCGTCCGTCTCCTACGTCGCTGACCGCCACCCTCTCGCCGTCCCCACCGCCTGGCCGGCGTGCCTCCCCCGAGCCTCTTCTAGGCCTGCCGAAGTTGGAGAAGAAGAGAGAGAGAGAGAGAGAAGAGAGAGAGAGAGAGAGAGAGAGAAGAGGAAAAAATGAGTGTTCCAATTCTTGAGTGTTGTATAGTATTCTTCATACTTTGTGCTTCTCTTCTCGATTAAATGCATGCTGAGAAACGGTTGTGACAGAAAGATAATAACCATACGTTCATGAACGATGTTTTATATATATATATATATATATATATATATATATAGAATAATTCGCTATGTAGTATAAATTATATAACCAATCATATATTGTGGACAGTGAGACGGACGGATAGCTAGCTCAGAAAGCTAGAAAATGTCAGGCGTCTTTTTCAATATAGCTTAGAGTACTCCCTAGAGGAGATAATGCCCAGGGCTTTTACGTTTTTTTTTTTGGGTTGAAATCATGCTTTTTTAATTATGGTGTGCCAAGATTGGCCCCAGCTCCATTTCTTAGTACCGAAGCTATGCATGGTTAGAAGCTGCGTAGAGGCCTCTTGCCTCTTGGGCCTTGGCATCATTACCCGAGCTTCTAAAGCGCCTTTTCTTTTCCAGTGCTGGATGGCGATGCTCAAATGTCTCTCCGAATCCCCACAGATTCATGGCATGCCAGGCTGCCAGTAGGAAACGACGGCCCTTGTAGGCTTGTACACTTTTCTTTGGGCTAGGCGGCTAGCTTCGACCTTTGGACAGGTTGTGTCAAGACAAGAGCCTCTTCTGCAGACGTGTTGCATGCAGATAGGATCAATGCATATGCATCTGAGTGAAATGGTCGTGTGTGCCGAAACCACCACCTGAAGGCTGAAGCTAAGCCAAATCATGTCCATGAGGCTGTTTACATCACATTAGGACAGTGGACGCCCCATTAATTAAAAGGTTGAGATTAAGTTATTAATGAGCACTGCTTTTATCAGCCGGTCGTTTTACTACTTTTCCTGAGCGCAAGACTTATCATACAGACATAGACCAATGTTTGGGTATGAAGATACTCAATCATCAAGCGCAAACATTGTGACGGAATAGTAAGGGCCTCTTTGGCACGGCTTATACCGGCTTCGGCTTCATCTATTTTGCGCAAATCGAGGTACTGTAGCGTGAAGCCGTTTTGTAAGCCGGGGTTAAATGAACTAGAAGCCGGGAAAAGCCAGTTTTTCTGGCTTCACCGGCTTTTGCTTCACCGGTGAAGCCGTTTTGAATGAGCCGTGCCAAATGGGGCTTAAGTTGTATTGCATAAAGATTTTATGTCCGTCGTTGTACATCACTGACCTATTTATAGGATCTTCGACACTTCTACTAGATTCCCTTCTTTACCCCTAGTCTTTGAATTACATAAGTAATCACTCTCCAGACCTGAGAAGGGCACTTCGGTCATTTCTATATATAAAATTAACTTCGCCCTCCGAAGCAGCCATGGCAATGACAACCTTCGTTTGAGGGAGGATCTTCGCCAGTGGAGCCTTCGCAACTCGAATCTTCGTAAGCTTTGTGTGGGCAAAGCTGTTGGATGAAGGTGATCGTCCATCTTTGGCCTCATGCTCTAGTTGTCTCTCAAATTGTCGTCATTCCCATCGTCTTCACAATTATTCTGGTGTCATCTTCGTATCCATCCTCTGAAGGTTCCATCCTTCATGACCTTGCACCAAAGCCATCCTAAGAGCAAAAAGAACTGTTCGCATTCAAAGCCGACTAGGATATGATTTTTAGGAGACTATGTTATCTAAGATTGAATCCCCAACAATCGATAATGCCTAGACACCACGTGCTAACCACTCCCATCCATTCCAAGCTTACAAATAGTTTTATAGAATTAAATTCCACTTACATTCTTAATAACAACACCGACTTAATATATTTCGATGATTCACATTATTTCTAATCAGCAAGCATAGGTGTTACTATCCATTCTACTAATCTACATGCTGGATTTACAAGAAGAAACACTATTGGGTGATTGGTCACATCGTATTGCACGATCCCATTGCGCCAGTGCCAAAGAAGATGATGTCGCAAGATTAGGGTTAGGAGTGAGGGTTTTGCCACCGGGGCTCAACACCTCCCCGGCCCCTCGGTTTAATTAGTGCAGACTAAGGGTGGCAGTGGGTGGAGTAGGGAGGGGCCTTGTTACATGGTGCTGAGGTTGAGGGGCGGTGGAAAAAAAAATTCACCGTCGGTTTCCCCCACTGCATCCCATTGGCCTTTGAACCGGCAATAAAATTCGTGCTATGAAAATGGCGTTGTTTGTAATAGTGTAAGTTGATGGTGGTCAATGGGATGAGGGAGGGCGGGTGACGGAGGATAGTGGCGATGTCGCCGAATACAAAGAAAGAGATGATGCACGGTAACTTTTGCTTTTTATAAATGTTGGGCAATCTAATATTTACAAACATGGCGGATTTACCTAATTTTTTACTATTTAACCCTTTTTAAAGAAAATTTACGTTTAGCCCCCTGGAAGACTTAAACTCATCTTTGGACCCTGGGGGTTGGCGCCATGAGTCCTGACGCCGAGGTAATACGTCTCGGCGCCACAAATCTTGGCGCCGAGGTGCCGGCCGTGCACAGCAGAAAATCCTAGGTGGCGTTGACGTGGCCGGTACCTCGGCGCTAGAATATATGGCGCTGAGCTCGGCACCGCAGATCTTGGCGCCGAGCTCGGCGCCATGTATTCTGGCGCCGAGCATGGATATCCAACAGGAATTTCTCGTCGTCTACGGCGCTGCGGGCAACCATGGCCAGTGGCCACTCATACATCCGACAGTGACAGAGCAACATCGATAATGTGCGGTATTAATAAAAACCATTGCTCAGTGCCGGCCCGTGACCCCCCTGTCACTGCAGGAGCAGCACCATCATACGGTGCCAGACGGCGTGCGCGTCATATCACCTGCGCGGCACACGTCTCCTATGCGGCCTACTCCAACCGTAGCCCCTCCTAGCGCGGCGCACGTCTCCCCTGGCGCGTCACCAGTGCGGACCATGCCTCAGCCCCAGAATAGTGCGCCGCTTGACTGGCAAATAAGTGTAACTCGAGAACATGTTTCCTAGCATTTTGGTGACCAGAAAAGGAGAGATTACATGGAGCTTAGTTTCCTGCACACAGACAATGGAGGCAAACGCATCGTTCACAACCGTGCGCAACGTGTCTCTGAGGCTTCGCGCGTTCAATCCCCGCACCTTCCATACTAGATATTATAGTTGTGGCTATCAATGGACGTGGTCGACCTTGGGGTATCGCACCGTGCTCCTCAAGTTCGTGTGCGCGCTCGGCATCAATCAAGTTCCTGTCGCATTCCGTGCGCACGCGACACCTGTAGGTGCGGATGGCGGGTGTGGGCGCCTCTGTACCATCCGGTGGAGCGACAGATGGGCACGGTGACGCATGCATCGTTGACTCCAGGCGCATGAGGTCCACCAAAAGCTCGACGTGACCGGACCTGTATGGCAGTAGCTCCTCCACGGGCAGCTCGAGCGGCGCACTGTTCCGGGGCTAAGGCATGGTCCGCACTTGTGACGCGCCAGGGAAGACGTGCACCGCGCTAGGAGGGGCTACGGTTGGAGTAGGCCGCATAGGAGACGTGCGCCGCGCAGGTGATACGACGCGCACGCCGTCTGGCGCCATATGATGGCGTTGCTCCTGCAATGGGGGGTCACGGGCCGGCACAGAGCAATGGTTTTTATTAATACCGCACATTACCGACATTGCTATATCACTGTCGGCATGTATGAGTGGCCACTGGCCATGGTTGCCCTGCAGCCGCAGACGACGAGAAGTTCCTGTTGGTTATCCATGCTCAACGCCTGAATACATGGCGCCGAGCTCGACGCCAAGATCTACGGCGCCGAGCTCGGCGCCATATATTCTAGCGCCGAGGTAGCGGCCACGTCAACATCACCTAGGATTTCCTGCTGTGCACGGCCGGCACCTCGGCGCCAAGATCTGTGGCGCCGAGACGTATTACCTCGACGCTAGGACTCATGGCGCCGACCCCCAGAGTCCAAAGATAAGTTTAAACCTCTCGGGGGCCAAACATAAATTTTCTTTAGAAAAAAGATCAAATAGTAAAAAATTGGGGCGGATTTACCCCTGTCGGCCAGGGCTTGGTCTCGTATAGTCGCTAGAATTATGGAGCCCCTCATAAGGTCTCCCTGTAAGTTATTGAAGTTTAGCTCGGAGGGTTGTTGTAGAAAATAAAGAGGAACCTTTTTCTAATATATATTTCTAGATGCACCATGTTTATGAAATAAGAGTATTTTATTATAATTAGCGTGCATGTAAAAGTAAGACGCACAAGAAATAGGAGCGCGAAGTGTCAATCATCATTCAAGAGTTTGTCAAAAAGTTATGGTTATGGAGTGCAGATATACTTTCATATTTGCAAAGGTCCGCCACCTTTTCATTTCCTCTACCTATTCGCGTGGATGGAACACGTAAACATTTTAGAATTTGTTAGGCCACAGAGGGCCATCGGTGTGCAAGTGCAACCGTGGACCCATTTTGTTTTCAGCACCTTTTCATTTCCATCGCGGTAATTGGGCGGTGGAAATAAAGTTACAAGTATGCAACACACATGAATTTAGCCTTTGACCTTTACCTTACAAAAAATGTCACAAACAAACTAGTACTGACATCCTTTGCTTAAATTTGGTTACACTTAACACCACGATTTGTTTAAATAAACAAATAGCTAGCATTCTACAAAACTATCTATCTTATCATCTCGTTTTTAATTTTAATTACACTATGTACGTCCGCGACTTGTAATTACATAACTCTTGGACCAAAAAAAAAATCAAATAGTGCAATTAGAGCATCTCCAAGAGTTTGCTATCTCAACTTGGCATCCATATAATTTTGGCAAAACAAAAAAAATAGCCTCCAACAATTTGGCAAAACAACTTGACATCAATAGCAACTTGACAAATCTTCCCTCCGCGCGCGCAAATATACGCGCGCTTATACGGCTTGGCATCCGGGGCTCTTCGTTCGCTTAGTGGGCCTCTTCGTTTTGTTAACGGTTTTTTTTTATTTTACCAAGTCAAAAATGCCAAACTCTTAGAGATTGATTGTTTTTTTACTTGACATATAATTTTGGAATTTGACAAATCACAAGATTTGCCAAATAAAATTTGACAAACTCTCGGAGATGGTCTAAGCTTCCCCTCTTCAACCTCGGAACGAAAAAAAATGGGAAGAAAAAACGAAGGCGATCAGTTGCTGTTGTGGTTTCTCCTCAGCGAGAACTACCCCACAGACACCTTCCTCTTGGGCCCGGCGTCTCCTCCTCTGCGTCGCACTGGACACTGGAGCGAGTCCAGGGCTTCTTTGTCCCTATGAGCTTTCGCCGGCCACCGCAGCGGGAAGAGGTAGAGCGCCGTGGGCGTGAGCAGCGTGGCCCCGACCCGGCCGCAGAACACCATCAAGAGGAGGCACAGCACCACGGCCGCCGCACCTGCCGCCGGCGACGTCGACGACGACGAGCCTTTCGCGTGCCGCCTCGCCGGTGGCGCCGGAGATAGCGCCCCCGAGGCTGTCGGCGAGCACGAGACGGCGGAGGAGCGATGAGCGGGCGTGGAGGGGGAGGAAGAGTAGTACGAGTACAAGGACGACGACGCGGAGCTCAGCCGCGACGAGGACGAGGACGACGCCGTGAACGCGCCGCCGCCGCCCGAGTCGTCCATGTCCACCCCCCGCTTCTTGGCCTCGGCCGCCGGCGGTGGCGACGACGGCCTCTTCTTCTTCTTGCCCTGCAGCTTCCCGGGAAAGAAGCACTTCCACCGGAACGACGACGACGACGGCCTCCGGCCGGCACGCTTGCCCCGGCGACGAGCAGCCGCCTCCTCCTCCGCAGCTGCCTCGTCATCGGCCACGGGCGCCGCGCCGCCGAAGCACATGAAGAGCTTCATGGTTGGCGGCCCCGTGTCCTGGGACCGGATCGGAGTGATGCGGCCCTGCTGCTGTGGCGTGGGCTGCAGTTTTAAGGAGAGTTGACTGGCTTTATGTCGTCTTGACTGGCTTTATTTGACTCGGCCGCGGCAAAACCACACCTGTGCACTTGCGTTCGGAATTCGGACCCCGTGTTGCCCCTGTCGCTACGGGCATTGTGCTTGTGGAATGTGGACTCGCACTCTCGCTTTCCCTACTCGGTTTCCGGTACGGCTACCACACGCCCTTGTCCGAGATTCCACAACAGGGGACGGGGACGGGGACGGGGACGGGGACGGGGACGGGGACAGGCCCCCATTTTGTTTCGAAAGCACATATGCACAGCATCTGGCCAAGCTTTTGGACTTGCGTGGGAGACCACTTCTTTTAAATTCAAAAGACGCGTATATGATTTGCACTCTTCCTGCACTTCAGGTGCCTGAAAATTGCTGAGATTTCAGGCGACGGGAATTTCAGATTGGGGAAGGGGCTCCTGGATGATTTTGAGGGTATTTCTATGCTTGGCATTTCTTGCAACCATGGGAAAACTTTGTAATATAGACTGACACAGGCACTTCTGGGCTTCATTTTTTATTGACGGCCTCTGAAATAGCAACTCTCCTAGACAGGTAGCAGTAGGCAAGGGCGCAGAAAATTACCGTTGATTTGCCATCAAATGTTTGACGTTGGTCACCTGAGATGAGACCAAATTTCAGGCACCTGATTAATAGCGTGTCCCTATGATGAGAGAGAGAGAGAGAGACGCCTTGGCCCTATTTGTTTTTGAAATTATCAGCGCGTATTTTTTTAGTAAAATAATAGTGTTTTTCTCTCACAACAAATTATCATTAACATCAACTATTTTTCTAGCCAGCCGAACAAGGCCTTCTTCAGCATCTGAAGTCTAAACAACGTTATGGGAAGACTTGTGTGGTCAAAATTTAACATGCTAGGGACTACATGAAGGATTCAAAAGGACTTCTTTTTTTAAAAAAATGATACTCCTCGCGTGTTCGTTTCGTGTTTGATAGTTGCGACAGGGCAAGGACGAGAGGAACGAACTATGGGGTGTTTAGATTCACCTTCTAAACTTTAGTCGTTGTTCAATCGGATGTTTGATACATGCATGAAGTATTAAATATAGACTAATTACGAAACTAAATGCACATATTGAGACTATTTTGTGAGATGAATTTTTTAAGTTTAATTAGTCCATGATTTGACAATGTGTTGCTACAGTAAACATGTGCTAATGACGGATTAATTAGGCTTAATAAATTCGTCTCGCGGATTACTGATGGATTCTGTAATTTATTTTATTAGTATCCAAACACCTCATACGACACCCCTACGTGACACCTCCTAAACTTTAGTCACTGGATCCAAACACCCCCTAACATGGTCGTTTCATGTTTGACGGTTGCGACTACGCGCAACGAGTCGATTCGAAAGAACAAGCAGCGCCAATATAGTATGTATAGCTAGCTACTCGATCCATCCCTACTGGTTTGGTGGCTTCTAAGGGCACCCACAATGGTATAAGCCACTTACTAGCTTTAAAGCTAACCTCTCCAATAATGCTAAGGACATGTTTGGAACAGAGGAATGCAAAACATAGAAATGAGTGAAAACACAGGAATATGAATGGAATAGAGATGTAAACAGAGGATTGGAAAATATAGAAATTTTGTAGAAAAGAGTATTTGGAACATAGAAATACTAATAGCATCAAAGTCTATTGGTTTTGCTAAACACAATTGTTTAGATTAAATAGGCGCTAAATACTTCTTTACAAAGCGACATATAACAGTTAATTTTTTTTTGACGTGTCTTGGACGAGCCCACATGTCTGTGCATGCAGGTAGGGACTAGGGAGTAGCACATCTTTTCATGCAGGTAGGGAGGGAGTATACATATTAGTGCATGAGTGTGCATGAGCCACGGGAAATATTCCATGAGGTCAGTAAAACTGCTGGTTTCATTACATTTCCTCTGGAACGGTCCGTGTCTCTTCCTTTATTCCAAACACTGCTATAGTGAAAATTCCTGTAGAAACTTGATTCCTCTTATCTTCCTACGTTTTCCCATAAACCAAACAGGGCCTAACTTTTAGCAATAGCTTATAATATGATTAGTCTCACGTGATACTTTCACATGATCTTAGAATATGTGTATGAGCTAGCTCTTGATTAAGAGCTAGCTTTTCTCTCTCTTCTATTGAAATATGAAAAAAATGCTTAGAGCTAGCTTATGAGTTAGCCATTGCAGGTTCCCTAAGTTTTCGCTCATGGCTTTTCCTTTCGCTCTCTATTAAAATAATTAAGACAAAGTTGCTTTTAAGGTCCCGTTTAGAGCTTTTCTCTAGCGGCTTGGGAGTTTGGAGTCTACCGCCATTGCGGCTCTCCCTAAGTTTTCTAAAAACATGCTTTCACAGAGCTTTTGGGAAGGAGCCAAAAATAGTGGCTTCTCCGGCTTACTTCATTCTACGTGGCATTCTCGAGAGCATATTTTAAGACCTCACGATTTATTAAAACACATCACTTTGTAGTTGCTTTTTAAGAGTGTTTTTGGTAATGCTTCTCCCAACCAAACGGGTCGGGAGGCCCCAGCTCTGCGTGGATCTCGGTGAATCGCGCTGTTGAGAAGAGACGGAGGTGGCATGAGGAACTGAAGATCGTGGCATCCTCCAACTTCGCCATCACATCCGTGGGCCTAAGGTGAAATTGCGACGTTGGCGGTTAGAGAGAGCCGAAGGCTGATGCGTTGTCGGACGGAGCCGAGCCGTGGGAGCGAGCGTGGAGTTGCCGGGGAGCCAGGGCACCAAGGCATGGACGTGCGAGGTAGCTGGGAGCCGAGGCGGGGCCACAAGGGCGTGGACGTGGGGCACCAGGGTGGTGGGAGGAAGCCGTTCAGAGAGGCTTCGCGCATGGATAAAGAGAGAAGACAAGAGAGGAGGGGGAACAAAGAAAAAAGAAAAAGGATATGGGTATTATGGACATTTTTATTTTATTTTTAAATCTATTATGGGAAATGTTTTACCTAATAACGTTCCACCAAAACATCTAAGCTACTCAGAAAGCGGAATCCATAGAAAATTGCCTCCATTACTGAGACAAAACAGTATCAAACAAACTTTAAATTATACTCCCTCTATTAGGAATAGACATCTCGTATAATGAGAAGTCAAACTTTTAATTTTAATTAGATTTATAGAAAGTAGTTTCAATATATATATATATATATATATATATATATATATATATATATATATTTCAAAACTCCTTTAATAATATATATTACATATCATAAATATTAATATTATTTTTTATATATACCTGATTAAACTTAAAAAGATTTAACTCATAAAAAACGAGGCGTGCATTCTCGAGGTCAAAAGGCTTTCTTTATTCCCTCACTCATGGGCGTGGCTGTCACTATCGCATCAAGCTTGTACGTACTTTGCTCCACACAATGACCAACACACACCGTTGTTCTTCCCTTTCAGAAAAGAAACACACACACACACACCGAGGAAAGATGGCAACCAGCCGCCGAATTGTTCGTTGGCATTCCGCACTGGATCGGACGGCATGAACGCGGTAGCTAACCATGCGGTCCGCCCGTGACGCGGTGTACGTAGCAGGTCGCGTCGCGTGAGGTGTGACACGCATTCAGTCAGGCTTAGTGGCTCAGACAAGACAGGTTGCCCCGCGCGCGTTCGGGTGGCGTGGAGCCGGGGAGAATCGAAGAAAATAAGGGAGGCCAAGCGGCGGCGGGCATGCGTTTTCCTCGTGTCGCCGGGAGGGCATCATCAGACGAGCCAACTTGAAAGTCGAAACACAAAGCTCTGTACTCGCCTGCCTGAACTGAAAATTGGCATGTACTACTCCACCACCTGCCTCCTATCGCTGCAGGAGGTTGGACTTGGAGCCAAACAGCCACACTAGTATAAACAGCAATGGAACAAACTTGGATACAGATTTCGGGCTGTATGCATCATCGTTGTCTGAAACCATCAACCCTCGTGTCCTGTCCTCTCAGGTCACCATTACTCCGTAGCCGATATGAGTACGTGACGATTGAATGGCACCACCAAGGCCGCACTCACTAGCAAGTGCAAAGAAAAAAAAACAGACACAAGCTACTCGTGGATGGCAAATGACACTCGTAGGTCTAAAGCTAATGTTCTACATTATCCACAAGACATAAAAAAAAAACGCTCGCCTGCATTGATCAGGCCATCAGGGACTTACTTTCCATATGTATATGTACTCTCTTTTTTATTTAATAAAGCAAAAAAAAAAACTAGCTTATGCATGTTCATGACAAAAAGGACTAGCTCCAGATGGAAAATGGACAGAGATGAATCACGATGTGTTGCAAGAGTTGGCTTAGCAGAAATAACCAAGTGTTCCAAAATGTGGATTGGCTGAACAGCATGTAAAAAAATAGAGCGCTCATAGCATTATTTCTTGTATCTGCGTGATGTGTATGAAAGATTACTGTTGTTCCTTCCTACTACCTTCTTGGTTGAAATTTTGCACCGTTCATGAATGCAAAGGGAACAGGGAAATAAGGAACGGGTTCCTATCTTGGATAAAATGGCATCTAAAATCCACAATGAAATTGGCACTAACTCCAATCTGTATGGTCCTCCCCTCAATCGATCATTCTTGTTTGTCGTCATCATCCTTCGCGCAATGCAGCGCATCCGTCATCATCCTTCAAGCGACGCGGCGGTTTCCTTCTCATCAGAAAAGTAGTCTTGCCTGCAAAGGCAGCCAACATGAATCATTGCTTATCTTACTCGTCATGAGTTCAAACAGTAAAAGAGGAGACACGGCTTGGTTTCATAGCAAACCTTATTTTGCGTGAAAGCTGATACAAGCCTGTACCGGCCATTGCAACATTAACACTGAACAGGTTCCAGTTTTTCTGCAATTTCATAACATTATGAAGCAAGATGACTGCTCATAAAGTCAATGATGGCTAACTGATTATCAAATGAGGCAGACAAAGAATTAGTATAATGCAGCTATTTTCAACTTTCTGTTCATAACTGTAAAGCTATTTGTCCTTTTCTGACATGAAGACTGCATAATTAGGGGGAACAGGAGAGCTGGAGAGTAGTGAAAGTAGATACAATTAGCAACTTTGCATCAACAGAACAGTTCACTGATGATTAGAGAAGTACTATATGATTACATTACTAAAAGAAAGATATAACTAAATCGACATCACTGCAGTAAGAAAGATGTAAGTTTAAAAGTTGAATTTTCCAAAGAAGATATAATTTACATTGCTTTACAGGTTTCAGAGCAAAACAGTGACAAAGGATTGTGCATTTACACAAGAGGGCTTACTGGTGTGATAACCATGCTGTAGCGTGACCAAATGATCCCAGTGCAAGCCACAGCTGCAAGCAATACAACAGAATAAGAATAACATCTCATGAGGAAACAAATCAAAGTAGTGGTCTTGTAATTCGATTATCCGAAAGTCAAGAAAAAAGATGAATTAATAGGAAAGCTTATACATACCAACTTGCTGAGGATAGGATATCTTTTCAGGTGGTTTTGCAAAGTCTGCAACATTGGCGATGCTGATACCCCATTTAAATGTAGGAGCCCAGAAATGAACTGCAGTAGGGAAGATTTGATTGTAAGTCACAGGTGATGCAATAGCTAGTCAAATGCAGCATCTGATATATGCATCCCGTTCCTAGCAAGGAACTGCAAATTAATATAGGCTGCATAAATTGTTCCATGGTTTACATCACATGCTCACTTTCTTCAGTCCAGACTAGTATAAGGATAAATTCAAGATTCGATGACTAATAATGCATCTAAGGAATGCCAAGAAATAAGTATAAGCTAGTTTGAAGTCTAGAACAATCATTATATAGTCTGCAAGTGTGTGTAATGAGAGCAAAGCGGAAGGTCACAATCATAAATGACAAAACAAGATTAAAGAAATAGAAATGCAATTGATCATGGATACAAAAAAAAAAGCAAAAGATGAGAAGATAATTAACTGGTTTTGGGGCCAGCAGGATGGTTCCAAAGGGCCTGGAGCTTCGAAGCCATTTAAACTAGCTCACACTTTTCTGTCCTTTTGAACGATCTGTTTACACTAGCTCCTAGTGTACCCCTACACGCATAAAAAGAAAACCATCATTGTCTTCAGAAATGCGATAACTATTGTTGGGGGGGCGGGGGGGGGGGGTGCTCAGGAAGAAAGAATATGGTGGCACAACAACTTGAACATCATATCATATATGGACAAACCATCAGGGCAAGGTGATCAAGAGTCCATAACACAGCCCATGAAAAAATAGCATATTCAACCACAAACTCAGGACACAATGAACTCTAGTTTATAATGTTTTTCCTTTGAGTCACTGATAAGTGATAGACTGATAACTATATTGGTTTATGTAAACTGGAATAGGAACAAAGACAATAGATTGATTATGGAGGATATGGTACACACATATAGGCAAGGATGACCTAGGGTTTATAGAAATAGAACCAATCAACGGTGATCCTTGCCTATTAGAGATCAATCTATCTATCCAAGCCATATAGGGTGTACAGGCCCAACAGGGGCACATAGGCCCAGAGGGAGAGTACCAGGCGTCCAGGGGATGCCGCACCCTTATCTCTAACAGTTTAGATTCATTTTGATATAGGTTTGCAAATAAATTCGATTGAGAAAACGAAGTAAGTGCTGCCAAAATGTAATTGGAGAGCTCAACATAACTTGTATAAATGGGACTGGTAAATGAACTTTATTATTTCTGGCAACACCAACATCAGTAAAATGGCATACAAGATCAGAATTCTAGGAAGAAAACATTAAAAGGCTGATTCCAAGACTACGGATCAAATATATCCTGCAGGTTGAGCATTGTTATTGTTTCTTTCCTCAATAAAGGTGACCTTCTTGCTTGCCATTCTAATTGAAATACCATAAAAACAGGTATATATATTTCTGAAGAGGCCATTTAAGTACAGGGCTTAAACAAACTAGAGCAGAATATGCTAGCAGTACTGCAAACACAACAAATTGGATAAACAATTAGGACAACTGGACAAGGAGATGAAATTCGTGCACAACAGAGTATGGATATACTACCAGGAATTTAGGATACAGGAACCTATATAATTTTTGCAGTACAAAAGCCCTATATCAGAATAAAATATACCAAAATTCTTTTTTCATGAGGAAACAGTATACTCATCAATCACCATGAACATCAAATACAATCAACTCTAATTTATACATAACTGGAACCCCCTCAAATGGATGGTAGCTATGTGATTGAGAATCATTCTTATATAGGAGTATGTTATGTAAATACAATTTAATTGCTGAAATAGAAAACACGATATACATTGCCAACACGTAGTTGGAGTATTCCAGCTAGAAGAGACAGCTAAATGAGTTCTCACTGCCACAGCAACATGAAAATATCAGGACTATTGACATACAATCAAAATTCTGCAGGAAGGGGGAAAATGACAAGATTTGTTCCATGTACGTAACTCAACAAGGTGCATCAGATATATTCGAGCCTTGGTACTATTGTTGTTTCTTTCTTAACAGGAGGGACGTTTTACCGTTTCAATCGAAATAGCCCAAAAACAATTCAGACACAATCCAAACGTTCCAAGCACCACGCAGATTGCAAAATGGGAACGTGCACAAATGGGAAGATTAGAACGCGCGGGCGACAAAGGAGATACCAGCGACGGGCTGAGAGGAGGCGGGTGATGCCGGCGACGAGCTGAGCCTGAGCGGGAGTGACAACTACAGAGGAGGGCTTGAGGGGGGGTGGGGAGTAGTCGATCGCGAACCGTGACAGACACACGACGAGGGCAGGAGACGGGTGGCTGCCGGCGAGTCCGGGAGCGGCGGCAGGATACGCCGGAGACGACCAGGGGCACGGGAGGAGGAAGGGCAGGTAGGTAAAACTGGGGGAGGAGAATAGACCAACGGGTTGGGCCGGGGACCATGAAAAAATTGAAAAAAATGCACTCGAAAGAATGACTTCTTAATTATCATGATACGTGAGTGGATGATAAGTGGTTTTATTTATATCTATGAATATAAATTCAGTGTTAAATCTGCAAACGATCGATCGATGTTTCGAATCTTATTTTTACAAATCGCCCGAGGACCATAGACTCGTGACAACACTTTCAGCATCAGTCGTATTCAAGCCTGCTTGGCACGGCTCCGCCTCTGGCTCTGCCAGCAGTTTCTCTCGAGGAACCGAAACCATGCTAAATACTTTGTCTTATTTGGACATTCTCATATTTATCTTAATCCATATATATATATATATATATATGGATTGGAATATAAATTAGTTTAAATTTTATTTTAACCTATCTTAATATATGCAGATTGAGTTGAAGATGAGGATCCAACAAAATCTTAGGAGCCAAAACAGCTCCTGAAATGATATAGAAATGAGCCCTACCGAAACGGGCTCATTATGTACGCCCCGGCCCACAGGACTATATGATTTCCTTTACAATTCACGGCAACCGTGAAATGCATATTTTTTCCCATCCACAGTATGCGTGCAAGACGCTTATTTTATACATATGTACATACTCACTTTTACGAAACACACATAAATACTTTATCTGTACGAGTATCTCTGAAATACTACCCAATAAATCTCGTTAATTAAGAATGTTACCATAGATGTCTCAATGACAATGGATATATAGCCCACCACTGAAATAATAGCGTTGTTGAAATAAATCAGGAAAATAGAGTACCCGTCGTTGTGTTAAGTTAAAAATTTTGAACCCAATTAGATAGATTTCACCACAAGAAACTAGTTCAGCTATACTTTATTGGATTAAATCCACTTTTGGCCCATCAATTATTGTGTTGGTCTAATTTTAACCCTCAACTACGAAACCGTCTAGTACCGGTACCCTAGCTGTCAAAACCGTTCACTTTTAGCACCTGGCCGGGGGCAAGGCTGTTTTGACCGACGTTGAGCGGTTTTGACCACACCACGTTGGCGTTGACCGCCACGTAGGACGTTGGCCTGCATCTCAGCGACATGTGGGGCCCGTGCGTCACCCACTCATTCCCTCCCTCTCCTTCCTCCGGCTCCAGCAGCATTCAGACATGCAAGCTTGGCCCCATTGCAGACGCGGGAGGTTCGCCCCAGCAACGGATGAGGCGACCGGAGCTAGGGGGCGACGGCGGATGCGGTGACCGGGCCACGGGGGCCATAGGTGCCGACGGGGATGAGACAGTGAGGCACAGCTCTAGTCGAGCCGTCGTCGGGCTCGCACGTGCGCGCTGCTCCGCCACCGGACGAGCAAGCGGCTGCGCCATGGCCGGCGAGCGTAGCTGCTGCACTGCTGCCAGGCGGGCGAGCACGCCACCACTACTTTGCGCCCGCGCCGCTATCGCTGCTGGGCTTGCCGGCCCCCGGCAACTCCCACGCCTCGATGCTCGGCGGTGAAGGCACCACGACCCCGTGGGGCTCATGAGCGGGGGCCACCGGACGAGCAGGTGACCGCGCCATAGCCGGCGAGCGCGCCCGAGCTGTCGGGCAAGCGCGAGCAAGCTGCCGCGTCGGGCCAGCCGAGTAGCTGCCGGGCTCGCGCATGGGGCTGTTGTGGCTTCACCGGGACGCGTCTGTGCCGAGACGCGGTACGACGGGCATGTCGCCGCCGCCCACAGGCTCATGAGCTGCTCCTCGAGCCAAACGTGTCCGTGGATCTGGTCGAGGCGCCACCACAGCTCCGCGCACCCGCGGCGCTAGCCCCACGTCCGCGCGCGAGGGGCTGATGCCAAGTCGCAGCGGCGGCACGCGAGCGGGGCGACGACGCTCGAGCAGGCTACGGCGGTGCGCGAGCAGGGCGACGGCGCAAGCAGGCTGCGGCAGCGGTGCGCGAGCAAGGCGGTGGTGCTCGAGCAGCACGACGCACGTGACGCGCGAATAGGGCGACGGCGCGAGCAACACAGCTGGCTGGTTGCCGGCGAGCCATGGCCATGCGGGCCTGCCGGCCCTACCCCACCACACGGCGCTCCACCTCATCCTCACCCACCAGTCCGTGCGGAGCCCGTCCTGGCTCTCACCGTCGATGGCGTGAGAGCGCTGCCGTGGGGATGGAGAGGGAGGCGTGGTCAAAACCCCTCAACGTCGGTCAAACAGCCTTGCCCCGCCCAGGTGCTAAAAGTGAACGGTTTTGACAGTTAGGGTACCGTTACAAGACGGTTTTATAGTTAAGAGTTAAAATTAGACCAACACAATAGTTGAGGGGCCAAAAATAGACTTAATACTACTTTATTTGCAAAGGAACATGATTGTGGACTACCACTTGCCAAGGAACCAAGGAATCTCTTGGCCTTAACTAAAGCCCATGTGCGGTGCTAGTCTGCCAGCCCAAAGCCACAGCCCACAAGGCCCAATGTGAAAGTAACAGTTCGTCTCCCTGCACCAGGCCCATCTGGAGAAGACGACGGCCCAGAACCAGGCCGGTCCTTAACAATTCAGGTTCCTTTCCTTGTGGAATGCACATAGACTTGGAGCTGTTTCCTACGGCTTATAAGCTGCTTATGATCAAAATAAGCTGAAATTAACAGCTAAACGCTATAATTTTTAGTAGCTTATTTTGGTCATACTTATTCCCACAGCTCCCATTTGTACAAAAAACAGAAGCTGAATCAGATCAACTTATTTTGATCGCCGCTTTTACTCTATTTGTGCAGTTTATCTATGAAGCGTTTCCCAAATAAGCTACACCACCTTGGTCACCTCTTCAATTCTTCAGCCTCCATGAATGCCTGATTGCAAAGGGTCAGGGCAGACCTGTCCAGCTGTCTTCATCCCCTGTGGATTTCAGTGATTAAGTACATACATCTACCTCCAGTTAATGCTACCCAATGCCGGGTCTCCCCTGGTTCTTGTTTCTAGAATTGAATGCACGAAAAGACCCCTCCCACCTCCCAGAGAACATGCTTTTGACAGACGAATTAAGGAGGATTGACTCGCCAAACTCGTTTGGCCCGCGAAACCATCTCATCTCCGTACATGTATTCCTACCACCAAAATATCTCCTCGGTTGAAGGGCAAAAGAGACCAGACCACGGCCAAAAACTAGAACGTAACACATTCGCCAGCGCCTCAGTGCTACAAACAGCATCTCTTAATCGATCACGATGAACGACACCGCTATTCACGTGACAAATGACAGCATTAGCATTGCACAGAGACAGGCATCCAAAGCCCTGGTGCTGGTACTCACCGTGTTCTTTGGGCTTGTCCGACCGTGTCATTCTAGAAGACCTCATCAGAGAAAGCAGGAAGACCATTACACCAAGATTGTTCAACAATAAGGAGGTGACCAGATCAAAGATTGAATAATCAGCAGTGAACACCTGACCTAACAAAGTATTAGCAGGACACGATGATGAAGTCCTGAATGATTGCCCGCTAACTAATCCAAGTCAACCCTGCGCTCTGGCTCTTTAGCCGCCCACCACCGCAACAAATCAGCAGCACTTTGTCTGGCTTCACACCATTCGCTCTCTTCTTTCCTAAAAAATAATTTCCACCAACGGTCAGCATCACATAAACAGATATTAGCGATTCTGTTCACAGGTATGAATCAAGAAAAATACTATCATAAAAATAATGTGTGCCGTGTTCTACCGTACAACAAACCAGCTGAATAGGCTGCAAAAATCAATTAAAATGACCGGCGAGTTTTCAGCAGACATAAAAATCGAAGAACACCTTTCTTACCTAGAATTCATCTTCTTGTGTAATCATCTTTCCACACCAGAAGGGCATTGGGTGTGTACCTATCAAAAAGCATAGCACCAGGTCAAATACGGCACCTTTTGTCATTAGTCCATGAAGTGGAGCGTTGCTGTCCATCAAAACCTCTGTATCCAACTACCACGGCAACCAATTACTCCAGAAGTCCAAACTCCTCTCCTCCCAGTCCCAGCCCTGGCTGCTCCACCGAGCTCCCATCCATGGCTCCTGTCTTCTTCCTTCTACCGCTCCTACTCGGCCAGATCCTTCTCTGTGCAGCCGTCGACACCATCAACTCCTCCACACCCTTGTCCGGCGCGCAGAAGATTGTGTCCAAGGGCAACAAGTTCACCTTGGGCTTCTACACCCCACCCCAAGGTACCACCACCTCCTCCAATCCCAGCAACTACTACATCGCCATATGGTACAGCAACATACCACTGCAGACGACGGTGTGGATGGCCAACCCCGATGTGCCGGTGGCTGACCCAACCACAGCCGCCTTGACCATCAGCAGCGACGGCAATCTCGTCCTCCAATCCCAGAATCGGCTGCTGTGGTCGACGAACATAAGTATTAGCTCCAATTCCACCATAGCTGTCCTCCAGGACAGCGGTAGCCTCGACCTCACAGATGCCACCAATTCATCCATGGTTTACTGGCGAAGCATCGATCATCCCACAAACACCTGGCTTCCTGGGGGGAAGCTTGGGCTGAACAAGACCACTGGTGTGAGCCAGCGGCTTGTTCCATGGAGTAACACTGCCAACCCCTTTCCCGGGCCGTTCTCACTGGAGTTGGATCCAAGAGGCACGACGCAATACTTCATTCAGTGGAATGATTCCATAACATACTGGACAAGTGGTCCTTGGAATGGAAACATCTTTAGCCTTGTGCCCGAGATGACCTCTGGTTACAACTATGACTTCCAGTTCATCAACAATGCGACCGAGAGCTACTTCATCTACTCAATGAAGGACAACAACATCATCTCGAGGTTCATCATCGATGTGGATGGGCAGATCAAGCAGCTGACATGGGTGTCTGCCTCCCAGTCATGGATCTTGTTCTGGTCCCAGCCAAGGGCACAGTGTGAGGTTTACGCGCTTTGCGGGGCCTATGGTAGCTGCAACCTCAATGCACTGCCATTCTGCAACTGCATCAGGGGGTTCAGCCAGAAGGTTCAGAGTGATTGGGATCTCCAGGATTACAGTGGCGGGTGCAAAAGGAGAGTACCACTGCAGTGCCAGACCAATTCGAGCTCTGCACAGGCTCAGCCTGATAAGTTCTATACCATGGAAAATGTGAGGCTACCTGATAATGCTCAGACTGCTGTGGCGGCGAGCTCAAAAGACTGTCAAGTGGCTTGTCTGAACAATTGCTCTTGTAATGCATATACTTATAACAGTAGTGGCTGCTTTGTTTGGCATGGGGATCTGATTAACCTTCAGGATCAATACAGCGGAAATGGAGGAGGCACACTCTTCCTCAGGCTTGCAGCTTCTGAGCTGCCAGACTCCAAAAAGAGCAAGACAGTGATCATTGGTGCAGTTGTTGGTGGAGTTGCTGCAGTTTTAATAGTCCTTTCTATTGTGTCATACTTCCTATTTCAGAAATACCGCCGAGAAAGGACTCTCAGGATATCCAAGACTGCTGGGGGCACAATGATTGCCTTTAGGTATAGTGATCTGCAGCATGTCACTAACAACTTCTCAGAGAGGCTGGGTGGAGGTGCCTTTGGCTCAGTGTTCAAAGGGAAGCTCCCAGATTCAACAGCCATTGCTGTGAAGAGGCTCGATGGAGTTCAGCAAGGGGAGAAGCAATTTCGTGCTGAGGTGAGCACCATTGGCACAACACAGCATGTTAATTTGGTACGCCTCCTTGGATTTTGCTCAGAAGGATCACGAAGGCTGCTTGTGTATGAGTTCATGCCAAAGGGCTCCCTGGACCTGCAGCTATTCTCTGGTGAGACAACAGCACTGAGCTGGGCTACCAGGTACCAAATAGCACTTGGAACAGCAAGGGGCTTAAATTACCTGCATGAAAAATGTAGGGATTGCATTATACACTGTGATGTCAAGCCAGAAAACATACTCTTGGATGAGTCCTTTGTGCCTAAAGTGGCTGATTTTGGTCTAGCAAAGCTCTTAGGCAGAGACTTCAGCCGTGTATTGACAACAATGAGAGGAACAAGGGGTTACCTTGCACCTGAATGGATCAGTGGTGTGGCAATAACACCAAAGGCAGATGTCTTTAGCTATGGCATGATGCTCCTCGAACTCATATCAGGCAGAAGAAATGCTGATCACGGAGAACAGCATGGATCCACCTTTTTCCCAAGCTTGGCTGCAAGCAAGCTTCATGAAGGAGATGTGCGGACCTTGTTGGACCCCAAGCTGAATGGACATGCAAATGTTGATGAACTCACAAGAGCTTGTAAGGTTGCCTGTTGGTGCATCCAAGATGACGAAACTGCTAGACCTACGACTGGTCAGATTGTTCAAATCCTCGAGGGATTCCTTGACGTTAACATGCCTCCTGTTCCAAGGTCATTGAAAGTTCTTGGCGAAAGCCCTGATGTTATAAACTTCTTTTCAGATATATCTTCAAGTCAGACATCCCAGACACAGAACAGCATGACAACTTCCCAGACGCGCAGTGCTACTTCAGGCAGTTCACATCTCCAAAGGCCATAAATCAAATAACCTGGAATTTGTCAGGGCAATACTTGAGGAGTATGAGTAAAGCTGTACATGATTAGAACCTAATATGCTCAGCTTTTGTATCGCGCTATGCTTCAGTACTGTAAATTTAGTGCAGAATGTCATAACCAATACAAGAAAGGTGCTACTGTTGCATTTACATTACACATGCAAGATTCCCCATTTTCTCTTACTAAATGTAAAATATCAAGTTGCGTTCACTTTTCACCGTCTACTGGAATCTGAATATAGTGCTTTTGTTATGTTTGGAAGCTACACTTATGTTTTTGACTAATTGCTCCTAAAAAAAGTTAGGGTGCACATCCTTCTTTAGTGAGTGAGGCTGAGATTGCTTTCAAAAAAAAAAAATACAATACAAAAAAAAAAGCAAGTAACACCCAAAAATTTATGTGCACATCAATTTGTGTTACTGTTTCCTTGCACATAAGAAAACTTAAGCATCTCAATCAATCAACTTCGATGAGGTAGCCAGCTAAGTGAGGGCAAAAAAAAGACTACATCTGTAACTTGGACATGTGTCTGTTAACTGAAGATTTTCTATTTCCAACAGTGGCTGAATAGTCATAGCCTGTCATCATTATAAGGGTGGTGTCCATAAATGACAAAATCACTCTTGCACTACTCACAATGGTTCCGGTGTTACTATGCTAATGCTTTAAAGTATTGCTCATCGAGTAGTTTCAAGATGTATGTAGAGTCATGGGATCATTCAGAGAGAGATGAAGATTTGGTCAAGTTATTCTGGACTTCAGATCAAGAGCTAGTAGGTTGCAGGCATGGAACAATGAGAGAAACACCCAAAACCCTTTTCTGAATACAGCGGTGGACACAACAAATCACTGCTTCCAAGATCTCTTAGACATTGGTAAAGAACATACTCAAAGAAAACTTCCTTGAGTTTGACAGACAATGGTTTCCCACTATCTCTAACTATCGATACCATGGGGAACAGGACTAAAAATATTAGGAGATATGGAAAAAAAATGCAGTCTAAACCAGAGCACGGTACAAAGCAATTTCTACTCAACTAAATAAACAAGGAACTAGTTACTGATTAATTATCTTATCCATGATTATGGTTATGCACACTTCAGATTTTTAGCTTTTCCACTAACTAATTAGATGGAGTACCCAAAGATATGATACGTAATTAGAAGTTTAATGCATTAAGAATCCCATGTGACTCCATCCAATAAAGTCGTAGTAGCATAATAAGTGAAAGACCATCATTGAAATGACAGTCCCATGTATCTATAACATTAACAGGCTCCTTGTTTATACTAATCACGTTGGTACTATTAACTGCTGATCTTCTAGCTTATTGGAGGCATAGAAAATATTGCAACTTAAAGGAAGATATAGTGATATACTACTATCTGATCAGGTATGGCAGTCACAGTCAGATTACAAAAACATACTTTTTTGATTAAAAAAAGGTGAACTCGTCACTTTTACCAATGTGCATAAGACATCATAGTTGGAAAGGAAATGCTATTTTCACCAAAATAAAATAACTATGCTGCGAGTGACATCAAAGCACACTTTGCTTCTCCAGCATATAACTTCCTGGTGCATAAACCTCTTGAACACCAGACATCCACCACTTTCGTACAAAGTGATGGCTTTCCCCAGAAAGACACATCCTTCCTTTGCTTTTTCCCATTTTCTTCTCCATCTCTGCGCAATTACATTTGGTGCGACTGATACAATCTCCAGGACCCAACCTCTTTCGGATGTTATAACTGTAGTGTCAAAATAAGAGAGTTTGAGCTGGGATTCTTTTCTCCAGGTAATAATGGAAACTTTTATGCTGCTATCTGGTTCAGAACTATTTCAAAGATGACTATAGTTTGGGTGGCCAATTGGGATATAGCTGTCTCAAATGCTTCATTTCCAGAACTTACAATATCTATGGATGGAAATCTAGTTCTCAACTCTCTAGGAGCACCCATATGGTCATGAAATAGCACAAGGAAGCTCAGCAGATCTACCATTGCAGTTTCCTTGATACTGGAAGTCTTATCCTGAGAGATCAATACAACTCTTCTGATATTTTCTGGCAAAGCTTTGATCATCCAGTAGACACGGCAGTGAGCGGAGAGGCCCTTTCTCCTTTCATGCAGATCTAATCACAATGAGCCAATATGTCTCAATATGGAACCACTCAGAAGTTTACTGGCAATCTGGGAACTGGACAGGCATTCTCCATCCCGGGAATGCCAGTAAGAGTGACTACAGATATGATTTCATTAACAACAGTCGTGAGCTTAAGTTTAGGTGGGCCATGAAGAATGTGTCAATAATCACAATAATAATTCTAAGCATTGATGGTCAACTACAACGTCAAACATGGTCCAATGATTAAGAGGAATGGGTATTAGAATGGTATTTTCCTGCAGCCCTATGTGATGTATATTCTGTATGTGGGCCTTGTGGAGTCTGCAGGACAGGTTCTGATAAACAATGCTTCTGCTTGCCAGGTTTTAAAGCTTCCTCAAGAAGTTGGGATCTTCGAGCATGGAGTCAGCACATTGATTCAGTGTTCAAAGGATTGCTCCCAGACTCCAAACTAATAGCTGTCAAGAAGCTTAAAGGCATGAAAAAACGGAGAAAACAATTTTCACACTGAGATGAGGGCTTTAGGGAAAATCTACCATAATAATCTAGTCCACCTCAGTGGGTTCTGCTTGAGAGGAGACGAAAGTCTGTTGGTGTATGACTTTATGGTGAATGAATCTATAGATGCTCATCTTTTCAACGATAAGAAGATATTGTATTGGAACACAAGATTCCTAGTTTAGGTGTTGCAAAGGGATTACGTTATCACCATGATGAATGCCAGGAGTGCATTATACATTTGTGGCATAAAGCCTGAAAATGTACTTCTTGATGCAGACTTCAGTCCAAAACTGGCTGACTTTGGTTTCGCAAAGCTTATGGATCGGCAATTTAGCAGGGCCTTGACAACTATGAGAGGTAACAAGCGTGTATGTCTACCTAGTTTCTTGGTTGTGTGGGTGTGGTGTGTTTTGTAAGGGTTCTTGCCCATTTTTTCTTCTTAATATAACAATACACGGCTCTCCTGCGTGTACGAGAGGAAAAAAAACAATATGGTATCTTGCACCAGAATGGATTGGAGGTCTTCCCATAACACAAGAAGCAGATGTGTACAGCTATGGATGATGCTATTTGAGATAATTCCTGGCAGAACGAATTCAGACTTGATGGAGAATGGAACCAGAAGGTACTTTCCAGTGTGAGCCACAATAGGGATAAGTGAAGGTGACATTTATAGAATTTTGGATCACAGACTAAATAACGTGAATTTTCAAGAGCTAGAGAGACCATGCAAGGTTGCATGCTGGTGCATTCAGGACAATGAGGCTCACAGGCCAACCATGCGGCAAATACTTCAATCTTGCAGGGCATTCAAGATGCCAGCGTAGCCCCAGACTGGTATTTCTAAAACAACTTCTAGAGGGAGAATTCATTAACTCATAATCCTGCAAATTAGCTATAGCATTCATAGTAAAACTCCATTACAATGTTTCAAAGTTCAAGCTGGGTGAGTACAGACTGCAGAGCAAGGCTCAGCAATCATTATGCTCGATTGCTGATCTACCGCTGTGTAATTAACTACAAACTTCTATTATTTGACTTTTACAATTTTGCCTTGATAGAAATTACAATCCTATAACAGACAGTTAAGCCACTGCAATTTCATTATTTCATCACAGAAAAGTGCCATGAGAATAGCAGCGGAACCTGGAACAATATTTCAGACGAACAGGATACATCCGGTGGAGATCCATCCTAGTTCCAATGTGTGAAGCCATAGACTCGCAAAAGGGGTGGATTAAGTGTGTAAGTTACCCTACCGTATCTGTCCAATACCTCTTTGCAACGAAATTATCTCTGGTTTCTATGGCAGCGCAACAAACAATGCGCCACCTGTTGGATGCCAAATTTACCAGCAGTCTGGAAGGATTGGAAGCGCATATTGGAAATAGTGGGGGATATGGATATGAGAGGCAAACCTGGGATTGGAGGGAGCCAACTCGACTACTCGAGCGGGGTGATTGATAAGACGGCGGCGGATGCTGGCGCGAGTGGCGGCAGATGCAGTCACTGACTCACTGCTGCAAGTTCCAGGCGACGGGTGAGCAGGCACGAGAGAGAGAACGGCGCATCGGACGCACCGAGAGAGCGCCCGTGCCCCGTGGGAGGCGTAAACTCCGCAGGCCGGCGGACGGCATGGGGTTCGAGCGTCCGGCCGGCGGGAGGCGAGTCGGAGATGACTCTGGCGAGATGACCTCCCGCAGGGCCGCATGCCGCAGCCCGGGGCCAGGCTGCCAAGTTCCAATTACTTTGGGCTCGGATCCAAAAATTTGCTGAGGCCTTGTTTAGTTTCTACCGTAGTATTTTCGTTTTTATTTGTCAATTATTGTTCAATCATGAACTAATTAGGTTCAAAACGTTTATCTCGTGATTTTTCACCAAACTGTGCAATTAGTTTTTTTTTGTCTACATTTAATGCTCTATACACGTATCACAAGATTCGATGTAATAATTACTGTAGCACTTTTTAGAAAAACTTTTCGGAACTAAACAAGGCCTGAATCAAATTTGCTAAGAGAAGCTACAATGACATACTCTTCTCTCCTGCGCGACTCGAGAAGCTTCCGTCCGTACCTCCGCCGGCGTGCACTCTAACATGCATCTAATTTTAGACCATGTTTGTCGGAGGGTAACGGATGACATGAATATTTTTTTATGTGCCCCTTTTACTGAAAATAAAGTAAAGAATGCTCTTTTTCAAATGTGTCCAACAAAATCGCCAGGCCCTGATGGATTTCCTGCACATTTTTTTTCAGCGTAAATGGGATATTTGTGGTGAGGATCTAACAAGGATGGTGCTAAAGGTTCTTAATGGAGATGATATACCCACTGAAATCAATAGCACGTTCATTGTT